AGTGAGGTAACCATTAGGCCATCTGCTGGTCCCCAAACACACCTTTTTATTTGGTGCCACATAACCAGGCTATGTTCTAAACTTTTTCATTCTGCCTCCCTCTTATTTAATTACTAATTAAATTATGTATTTATTTATTGCTAGAGGGTATGTATTTATTGCTAGAGGCTTACCAGAGAGAGAGAAGCACCTCCCAGGGGGGCATGGTCATGCTGACGTCTTCCTTCCTCCTTTTCTTCATCCTGTCAGAATTTGGGGCATTCATGTACACTGCTTAACTGCTACACTGTGGTGCTGGCCTTTTTGTGTTTTTAAAGCATTGTTGCTATTTTTTTATTTATTTATCTTTTTAGAGAGGTTTTTGCTATAGGGCACCTATGCTCACCAGACAGAGAGACAGAAAGCGAGAAATCACCCCCTGGGGGGACGGTCACGCCACAATCCCTTCTTCTCCATTCTCCTCTAGGAATCTTGGGCACGCACGCACACATGCCCAGCGTGAGTTTTAAGCCACCAGATCCGGGACACAAACCGCGGTAGACTACATGGGAGTCCAGCGACATAGCCATTACACTAACTGCTGGTCCTCAATCATTGTTGTTATTTTAAAAAATTTTTGCCAGAGGGTGTGTACGCTGTCCCCTCCAATGGGGAACAGCCATGCTGTCGTCCCTTCTCCTCCTGTTACCTTCCCACCAGGATTCTGGGTAAACATGTACATGTGCCTGGTGGAGGCCATGCGGGATCGGGCTTCCCTAACCACTGTGCTACTAGGCCAGTCCACTCCTTTCTTTTCATTATCAGTTCTGTTTTAAAATCATCTTCTTATTTTCCTCGGAAACCTCTTCAAAATGTCTTTCGCTGTTTGTATCTCTGCACCATTAGGGCCACAGCTGCTTATCCAGTCGCTAGTCTTCTAGTCCATTTCTAAACAGTTCTTCCAAGCCACCATCAGCATCTAGGTTTTTCCAGGACTGCGTCTCCTTGCCTACTACCCAGGTCCAAACCTGCTTTCACATTTCCTGATTTCTGTAGCAAGGCAACCCTGCTTGGCAAGGCCAATTTCTGTCTTTGTTACTACGTTGTTAATAGGAATATCTGAGCCTGCGTGCCTGTATACATAAGATAGTTTATATACAGACTCATGGTTCTGGTGGCTGGTGGGTGGGTCGAGGCTGATGGAAGCACTGAGGATGGCAGGCGAGAGCTCCTGACCGATTTCTCTTCTATAATGCCAGCCCTCAGGAGAACTAACCCCTCCTCACACAGGTTAGAACTCCTGGGTCTCGTGAGACATCTCATTAATTTATTCATGAGAGTCTTGCCTCCGTGATGAAATCACCGTGAACCAATCACTGGACTCTAGGCCTCAGGCTGAAACACCCTGAAGCTACTGAATTTTCACTTAATGCCTTTACCGCACAGTTGGTACAATCCAGTCCTAACATACGGATTCCTAGGAGACATATTTGGAGACATGGCAGAATTCATTTTATGGAGAGAAAAATATGAAAACTGATATAGAGTGTTTTTACTATTATAAGATTACCAAGAGAGTTGATACCTTTGAAAATACTAATTTTTAAAAAGAATTATTTTATTTAACTTTATTTTAATTTGACCAGAGAGGGACAGAGTAAGAGAGAGAGAGAGGGAAAGTGAGAAGGCAAGCTGCCAGCCTCAAAACGTGACTGGTCATGTAGGAATCTAGTGCCATTAACCACCAAGCCACCTTCCAGCCCCTAAAACACTAATTTTTATACACTTAATAGTGGGACATATTTTAAGGGTTGTTTCCAAGGTTTGCTAAAAATAAAAAAATACAACTTTCCTGGGAATGGCAGTTGACATGATGGCTATGTCACTGGACTCCCATGTAGTCGACCACGGTTCGAGTCCCAGACCCTGTGTTTTAAACTCATGCCTGGCGCGTGTGCGTGCATACCCAAGATCCCAAGAAGAGAATGGAGGAGAAGGGATTGCAGTGTGACCACCCTACTGAGGGGTGATTTCTCACTTCATGTCTCTCTGTCACTCTCTCTCTGGAGAGCACACACACCCTGTAGCAAAAACCTCTCCAAAAAAAAAAAAAAAAACAAATTTCCTATATTTATTTATTTATTTATTAGAAATTTTCACATGTGGTGTGTATACTCATCAGAGAGAGACAGAAAGAGACAGAGAAAGTGAGAAATCACCTCCCAAGGGGGATTGCCATGCCTCAATCCCTTCTCTGTTCTCCTCTTGGGATTTTGGACATGCACACACATGTGTCTAGCATGATTTTCAAACTGCTGGGTCCAGGGACTAGCAGTTGGCATAATGGTTATGTCGCTGGACTCCCATGTACTTGACTGTGGTTTTACTCCCAGACCTGGTGGCTTAAACTCAAGCCGTGTGTGCATGCGTACCCAAGATCCCGAGAGGAGAATGGAGGAGAAGGGATTGTGGCATGGCCGTCCTCCCTAGGGAGTGATTTCTTGCTTTCTGTCTGTCTGTTTCTCTCTGTCTTTCTGGTGAGTGCATGCGCCCTATAGCAAAAAACCTCTCAAAAAAAAAAAACAAAAAAAACTGTTGGGTCCAGGATTTGAACTGCAGTTGGCCATGTGGGATTCTACTGCCTTAACCACCATGCTACCTGCTGACCCCTAATTTTTTTTAAAGAAAACATTATTTTTAAAAAATTATTTATTTTATTATTATTTTAATTTGCTATAGGGTATGTGCACTCACTAGAGAGAGACAAGAGAGGGAAGTGAGAAAGCAAGCTACTAGGGCCAAGATTCGAACCACAGTCGGCTATGTGGGAGTCCAGTGCCTTAACCACCACACCACGTTTGGCCCTGGCCCCTAATTTTTTTAACCACAACTAACTGACATTGGGGAAGATTAAAATTTACTAGCTGGATTTCAACAAAACTTTTGTGTTATTGAATATCATTTAGTAAAAGTGATCCTTTCACTTAACTCTCCCTATGTTAGGGACCAGCAGTTAGCGTAATGGCTATGTTGATGGACTCCCATATAGTCGACCGCAGCTCAAGTCCCGGACCTGGCAAGTTAAACTCATACCAGGCGCATGTGCATGCGTGCCCAAGATTCCGAGAGGAGAATGGAGGAGAAGGGATTGCAGCGAGGCCATCCCCCTTGGGGGGTGATTTATTACTTTCTGTCTCTCTGTCTCTCTCTGGTGAGCACACACACCCTATAGCAAAAACCCCTCAAAAAAAGAAAAAAGGGGGGGGTAAAACCCTTTCCCTATGTTATTACATCCTAATGAATAGAAATGGTGGTTGAACCACAAAAGGACATTAAGATATACGAATAGAACAGGGAAGTAAAAACAAATTTTTTTTTTGAGATGTTTTCGCTATAGGGCGCGTATGCTTGCCAGACAGACAGAGAGAGAGACATAGAGACAGAAACCGAGAAACCTCCCCCCAGGGGAGATGGTCACGCCGCAATCCATTCTCCTCTGTTCTCCTCGGGATCTTGGGCACGCATGCACACGTGCCTGGCGTGAGTTTTAAGCCACCGGGTCCGGGACACGATCCGCGGTCGACTACGTGGGAGTCCAGTGACATAGCCATTATGCTGACTGCTGGTTCCCAAAATAAATTATTTTTTAGATGTACTTTCAGGGCCAGCAGGTGGCATAGTGGTTAAGGGGACTGGATCCCATATGGCTGTCTGTGTGATTCCTCCCAGACCCTCCATCTTGAAAATCATGCTGGGCGTATGTGCGTGCATCCCCAAAGTCCCAAGAGGAGAAAGAGAAGGCATTGAGGCATGGCCATCCCCCTAGGGGGGTGATTTTTCACTTTTGCTCGCTCTCTGTGTGTCAGGGAACACACATCTGCCATATAGCAATCAATCAATCAATCAATCAATTCAAGGCCCAGTCCTGGTAGTGTAAGCAGTAAGGTGCCATTGTGGGAGGCTGGAGCCCGGACCAATCTGAGCAGGTTGAGCAGTGGTATCTGCCTGTACTAACTGGGAGACCGGGAACCATAGTAATGAGACCCTGTCCCAAATACCTACCTCTCGCCTCATCTTCCCTCTCTTTTAAGGAAAAAGAAAAAAGCCAAAGCAAAACACTTTCTACGCGATTAAGTGACAGTATCTCGAAGGCATGTGAATTGACCAAAAATGACTAGAAAGTCAAGTTAGCAGAGGTGTTTCTAAAAACAACTCAGGAGACGGAGAAGAGGTATACAGTGTGATTCCACCTGTATGACGTTCTGGAAAACGCAGAACTGGAGGGAGGGAGAACGGATCTGTGGCTGTTCAGGTGCTGGGAGGGAGAGCAGGGAGTTCACTGAAAGGAGGCTTGAAGAAACTGAGGGCGAGAGAACCGCTTCAGCCGTGACTGTGGAGTGTGTACGTGTGCCGAAGTTCACGGAACCGCACGTTACAGAAGGGTGACTTGTACCGAGTGTAAAGTATATCTTAATAGACCTGGCTTTAAAAAGAGGTTGAGAAACGGTGAGTTTATTCTCAAAAGGGGGGGAAATTGTTATATATGTGGATGTTCATTAAATCAGAATCTGAGATTTATAAATGAGCAATAAGGGAAGAGGCTAATAGTGATATCAGTCTCCTGGCCAGGAAGACGGAGGCATAGTGACAATAGGGCCAGCAGGGGCAGCACTGTAAGGCCAAGTGGTCACGCACTGGGGCATCATGGGTTGCTGAAACCCTGGGCGGGGCCTCTGGTGTGCTCTGTCTTAGGAGCTGGTGGCCTTGGGAGCAGGTTGCTGGAGGCCCAAGCCCTGGAGTCCCGAGGACGAGAACACAGTGAGTGTGTATGCCCTCGCCTTCACACCCTGGCCCCCAGAGCGGGCCCCTGGCCCTTCCTGTGGTCTGGGCCTGGGTCACTCAGATGCCCGAGTGCTGCCTGCCCTTTGCGGAACTGTGCTGCTAGACTTCTGTCCTCTCCCACCTCTTGGCCCTTCCCCGCCCCTTACCCCACCTCCAGACTGTGTTCTCCCTCTCTGCAGAAGTCCGGAAGTCCACCAGCTCCCCCTCGGTTTCAGCAACCTTTTGGCCTTACCAGCAATGGCCTCCTCCTGTGATGCCGAGATTCATAAGGACGTGCAGGTGAGAGCAGGAGGTAGTGGAGCCTCTTCCGGGTGGGAGCCCTAAGTCTGCAGTAGGAACCCTAAGCTAGGGGCAGGGCTGCGTCTGGGCTTAGACCTTTGCAGGAAACAAAGGTCGCCAGGCCTGGCTGGGTGGGGGTAGGGCTGGCAATGGAGCATTGGTGCTGGAGACAGCAGCTCCAGCTTTTCTTTCCTCTCGTTATCTCGTTCCACTCCTGACCGCTGGGCCAGCTCTATTACGGGCAGGAGCTGAAGAAATCCACGGACCTCAGGACCAATGCCTGTACCACCACAGCCAGGCCAGTCTCCAGGCACGTCCAGGAAGCCCTGAAGAATGTACACGAAGAAGTGGCCTTGAGGTACAGTCCCCTGTGCTGCCTCCCATACGGGCTATAGACTGCACCTTTTCCGAAAGAGTGAGGCCAGTCTCTAGGGAATAACATCGCTACCAATCCATCCGGTTTGCTGGTGTCAGTCATCTTACTGCTCTGCCTAAGAACCTCCAGTGACACCCTCCATCCTTGCCCATTGCAGGGCACATCGCACTCTTTGACCCTGACAGGACTTCCATACTGCCTAGTAATGCTTGGCCCGCCCGAACCTGCCTTGGGTCCCTCTGACCTTCCCCTGCCTCACCGCCATCAGTGCTACCTGCCTAGAGAGCGGTGATCAGCCTGGGAACCTTCACTCTCCCACCTTCTAAACCCTCACTGATGGCCTGCCTACTCTGTGAAGCCTTCTCTAATCCCTGAGCACCCTCTTTCCAAACTGCCTCACCGCTTTCCTCGTGGCTTGTCAGTAAATTATGGACAATGTTTTCTTGCTTTTGTTTTCCCTTCCCACTTAAATACACTTGGGGTAGAATTTCTCTCACATTTCTTCCTCAATAACTAGCATGGTCCATGTCCTGAATGAGGGGCTCAGCTAATGCCTCAACATATTTATTCAACACTTCCTTTAGATGGCGTATGTAAGTCTTAGTATGTGGCTCAGCGATACTTATTAAAGCAGATATGGGCCCAGTCTTCATGGAACTTCCAGTGTAGTGGAGAAGACTAAGGACGTAAATAGAATATGAGCAGGGACCAGCACATGGTGTAATGATTATGTCGCTGGACTCCCACATAGTTGACTGGTTTGAGTCCCAGACCTGGTGGCTTCGAACTCATGCCAGGTGCATGCATGTGCATGTGTGCCCAAAATCCTGAGAGGAGAATAGAGGAGAAGAGATTGTGGCATGGCCATCCTCCCTGGGGGGTGATTTCTCACTTTCTGTCTGTCTCTGTCTCTCTCTCTCTGTCTCGCGAGTGAGCACACACACTCTATAGCAAAAATCTCTAAAAAAAAAAAAAATAGAGGATGAGTTAATGATGGGAGAAAGGAAGGAAAGAAGGAAGAAAGTGTGTGTAAGATTGAGTGGTTTCATTGTGTGTAGTGTCTAGGAAAAACGAATTTATTTTTTCATTTCCCAGATATTACGGCTGTGGTCTGGTCATCCCTGAGTGTCTAGAAAGCTGCTGGATTTTGGATCTGGGAAGCGGAAGTGGCCGAGATTGCTATGCGCTTAGTCAGCTGGTTGGTGAGAAGGGCCATGTCACTGGGATAGACATGACCGAAGGCCAGGTGAGGCAATGCTTTGGAGTAGGAGGAGAAAAAAATTCTCAAAAGCATTCTTTTTGAGATAAAGTTGTTTGCCTTTGTGACTCTTCAAGGATAATTTAAGAAGGCCACTGTTTAGCAATGCTCCTTTGTGCCCCTGGTGCTTCCTGCCTGGAAGGAAGGACCGTGGCAATGAGGAGTTCAATGGGGAGAACACCAGTCAGAGGGTGGATCTGGTGTATGACTGTCGTGCTGACCCAGTCAGTTTGATCTTTTCCCTCCAGCCACGTCTGTCCCCAAAGAATTTGTTATTGAATGAGAATCAAGCCAAACGCATTTCGCAGGGAGTTTACGTCCCAGGCTACAGTGAGTGTGACCTGCCCATAGGAGTCTTGTATACCTATCTAAAATAATCTGAGGGAAGTTTCTTTTGCTAGTAATTGGAAAATTTCGGAGGGGGGGGGGGGGTGGGGTTTTTTTTTTTTTTTTTTTTTTTTTTAATGTTTCTTTATACTTTTCTTCCTGGAGGTGGAAGTGGCTAAAAAGTATCTTGACTTTCACATGGAGAAATATGGCTTCCAGGCAGCCAATGTGACTTTTATCCATGGTTACATTGAGAAGTTGGGAGAAGCTGGAATCAAGAATGAGACTTACGACATTGTTATGTAGGTCTTTATCCTTTCTGTTACGAATATAGGCCTTTCCTTTTATTTTTTCTTTCTTTTGCTATATATATGCTTACAGGAGAGACAGAGAGGGAAAGTGAAAAATCACCCCCAAGGGGGAATGGCTACCTGAAGTCCCTTCTCCTTTATTTTCTTCTCAGGATTTTGGGCAGGCACGCATACGTGCTCAGCATGTTTCTCAAGCTGCCAGTCCAGGCCTTGAACTCTGCAGTCAGTCCGTCAGGTGGGATGCAGCTGCCATCTGCTGGCCACAAGATTTTTTTTTTTTTTTTAAGAATGAATTTATTAGGGACCAGCAGGTGGTGTGGTGGTTAAGACACTGGACACTCCCACATGGCCAACCATGGTTCAAGTCCCAGACCTGGTAGCTTGCTTTCTCATTTCCCTTTCTCCCTCTCTGCCTCTCTCTGGCCAAATTAAAATCAATGAATGAATAAATAAAATTAAATTAAGTCTTAAAAAAATTAATTAATTAGGGGCTGGCAGGTGGCATGGTGGTTGGGGATGCTGGACTCTCAAGTGACTGCAGTTCGAGTCTCTGACCTGGAAGCTTGCTTTCTCTCTCTCTGGTCAAATTACAATAACAGTAACAAAAATAAAATAAAGTTAAATAAAAATAATTCTTTTAAAAATTAATCAATTGGGGGAACCAGCAGTTAGTGTAATGGCTATGTCGCTGGGCTCCCACGTAGTTGACCGCGGTTCGTGTCCCGGACCCGGTGGCTTAAAACTCACGCCGGGCGCGTGTGCGTGCGTGCCCAAGATCCCGAGAGGAGAATGGAGGAGAAGGGATTGCGGCGTGACCATCCCCCCCGGGGGGTGATTTCTCGCTTTCTGTCTCTCTGTCTCTCTCTGTCTGGCGAACGCACGTGCCCTATAGCAAAAACCTCTCCCCTAATAAAAGAAAAAAAAAATTAATCAATTGGGGCCAGCAGGTGGTGTGGTGGTTAAGAGCACTGGCCTCCCACATGGCTGACTGCAGTTCAAGTCCTAGACCTGGTAGCTTATTTCCTCAATTTCCCTTTCTCTCTCTCTGTCTCTCTCTGGTCAAATTAAAATAAAACAAATAAATAAATAAAGTTTACAAAATTAATCAATTAATTAATTATTATTGTTATTTTAGAATTTGCCATAGGGCATGTGTGGCCAACAGAGAGAGACAGAGGGAGTGAGAGAAAGCAAGTTACCAGGTCCATCACTCAAACTGGTTGGCCAGGTGGGAATCCAGTGCCTTAAGCACCATGCTGCCTGCTGGCCCCAGCCCTTTTCTTTTGAACACACAAATGTCACTCCCTTTTGCTGAACTGACTCTCATGTGGGGTATTAAGCTAAAGTGAGCATGTCTTAATAATGAGAGGGAACTGGTCTGAGCTGCTTACAGCCGACCTGCAGTACCACAGAACAGCCCAGAGGGAACATACTTTCAGCTTAGCCATAAAGAAATGAGCCCAGGGGCCAGCAAGTAGCATGGTGGTTAAGGTGCTGGACTCCCATGTGGCTGCCCACGGTTTGAGTCCCAGACCTGGCAGCTTGAAACTCATGCCGGGCACGTGTACGTGCATGCCCCAAATCCCAAGAGAATGGAGGCGAAGGGATTGGGGTGTGATCATCCACTCTGGGGGTGATTTCTCACTTCCTCTCTCACTGTCTCTGTCTCTGTCTCTCTCTCTCTGGTAATTGCACATGTCTTAAGGCAAAACCTCTGAAAAATTATTTAATTTTGTTTATTGTTATTATTATTTTAATCTGCTACAGAGCATGTGTGGTCACCAGAGAGAAAGAGAAAGTGAGGAAGCAAGCCGCCAGGTCCAGGACTCAAAGCATCCATGATTGGCCATGTGGGAGTCCAGTGCCCCGACCACCATGCTGCCTGCTGGTCCCCTCAAGTGTCATTGTGTTCTATGGTGACATCCAGGCAAAAACAAATATAAATCATACCTCAATTTCATTTTTAAGTTTATTGTAGGGAACGTGTACTCACCAGAGAGGGAGAGAGAAAGTGGCTTCCGCCCCAGAGGGGAGGATCATGCATAATCCTTCTCCATTTTCCACTCAGGATTTTGGGCATGCACGCCCATGAATCCAACTTGTTTTTCTTTTCTTTTTTAAGTTTGTTATAAAGCACATGTGCTCCCCAGAGAGTCAGAGAGAGAGAAAGAGGGAAATCACCCCCTGGGGTGAAGGCACACCGCATTCCCTCCTCCATTCTCCTCTCGGGATTTTGGACACCCTCACACAGACACATGCTTGTTGTGTTTCTCAAGCCGCCAGGTCTGGAACTCGAGCCCCGTGGTTGCTATGTGGGATCCAGCCGCCTTAACCACTAACAGCCCCCTAGCTGGCCCTGATGTTTTTTTTCTGTACATTCCAATTTGCTAAAATGTATTGAGACTTGAACACGGCCTGTCTTCCATATCTTGGGAAGAGCTGAGTGTGGGGCAGAGGAGGGAGGCAGGAAGAATGGTGTGGACGAAATGGAGGGAGCCACCTTCAGGGCCCAGGAGGGTTTGAGGAGCTCTGAGTAGCATGCGCATTTGCTTCACATCCTGTCTGTTCTGTTTTTAGATCGAATTGTGTCATTAACCTTGTGCCGGATAAACAAGAAGTGCTGCGGGAGGCGTATCGCGTGCTGAAGGTGAGGGAAGAGTGAGGTAAATGCTCTGGGAACATCTGTGAGAGCTGGTGGGCCCAGTCCCTCCACTTCCCCCCTGAATTTAGAGCTGAAACTCTCTTAATTTACCCGCTACATTAAAAAGGGATGGCGAAGAAGGGGAGTGGCAGGAATACTCTAGATTGCACTCTTTTCCTGGTCAAGTTGCAAAAGGTGAGAAATTCATGGGTGACATGCCATGAGACCTGCTGACGAGTCCGCCTTACTGAAGCCGCTCGCCTAGGATAGCGTCAGCAGAGCCGCCGGAGCCTCTGGACTGACTAGTATTGGTGACTGAGTAACCCTCCCTTCTAGCGCGGGCAGTGTTAGGGCTGGTTGTGTCTGCTTTTTGTTTCAGATTTCAGATCTTTGTGAAGTTAAAGATGGAACTTTTCATTAACTGCTTTCTTGAGAGAAAGAGGGAAGGTGCAGTCACACCGCCATCCTTCTTCCCTCCATTTCTCTGTCCTCTCAGGACCTTAGGTACACTCACACTCACTGGTGTGTTTCTCAAGGCCCTGGGGCTTGGATTCAGACTACATTTAGCCATGAGACTTTTGCTTTAGGGTGGGTGTGCTCACGGAGAGACAGAGAGAGACAGAAAGTGAGAAATCACCCCTTTCCCCAGGGGGCTGGCCTTGCCGCAATCCCTTCTCTTCCATTCTTCTTTTGGAATTTTGGGCATACACATACACGTGCCCAGTGTGAGTTTTGTTTTGAAGAATTATTTTATTTAATTTTATTTATTTATTTTAATTTGACCAGAGAGGAACAGAGTGAGAGAGAAAGTGGGAAAGCAAGCTGCCTGATTTGAACTCAAACCATGGTCAGCCGTATAGGAGTCCAGTGCCCTTAACCACCATGCCACCTGCCAGCCCATGCCCAGCATGAGTTTTAAACCACTGGGTCCAGGGCTTGAACTGTGGTTGGCCATGAGGGATTCCAGGTACATAACCATTATGCCATCTGCTGGTCCCACATTAATTACTTTTTTTTTTTTTTTGAGAGGTTTTCACTATAGGGCGCGTGCGCTCACCAGACAGACAGAGAGAGACAGAGAGACAGAAAGCGAGAAATCACCCCCCCAGGGGGATGGTCATGCCGCAATCCCTTCTCCTCCATTCTCCTCTCGGGATCTTGAGCACGCACGCACACACGCCCGGCGTGAGTTTTAAGCCACCGGGTCCAGGACACGAACCGCGGTCGACTATGTGGGAGTCCAGCGACATAGCCATTACGCTAACTGCTGGTTCCCAATTAATTACTTTTTAAAACAGGATACTCGGAGCCAGCAGTTGGTGTTACATAGCTGATCATGATTCAAGACCTGGACCTGGTGGCTTGAAAATCACACCAGGTGCATACATGCATGTGCCCAAAATTCCAGGAAGAGAATGGAGAAGTGACTATAGCGTGACCATCCCCCGGGGGGTGATTTCTCACTTTCCCTCTCACTGTCTCTCTCTGCTGAGTGCATGCACCCTGTGGCAAAAACCTTAAAAAACAGATTCTGAGACTTTGGGTTTATAGAGCTGTCATAGAGCTCAACTAAAATATCCTTTGCTGGCATGCCATTTTATAGGCCAGCTCCCTTGCTAGGGCAAGCTGTGCTTACGGACAATAGAGACTGAAATCTGAACCTCCATAATTTTTTTTTTTTTTAAGAATTATTTAACTTTATTTGTTTATTTATTTATTTAAATTTGACCAGAGAGGGACAAAGTGAGAGATAAATAGAGAGAGTGAAAGTGAGAAGTCAAGCCACCAGGTCCAGGACTTGAACCACGGTCGGCCATGTGGGAGTCCAGCGCCCTTAACCACCACTCCACTTGCCAGCCCTTAAACCTCCATACGTTTGACTTTTCTGACAACCAAATAAAATCTTAAGTTCCTGGAATTCGCAAGTGGTATAGAGGTTAAGGTGTTTGATCCCATACGGTCAACTGCATGGTTTGAGTGCCAGACCTGGTGACTTGGAAATCACGCTGGATGTGTGTGCATGCATGTCCAAAATTTGAGAGGAGAATGGAAGGGAGAAGGGATTGTAGTATAACCATCCTCCTGGAGTGTGGGGCTATTTCTCACTTTCTTCTCTTTCTATCTCTCTGGTGAGTGCATGTGCCATGTAGAAGAAACTAAAAACTAAATGAACAAAAAACCTTAAATTTCTGATCACTCATTTATTTACCTTATATATATATATTTTTTGGAGAGGTTTTTGCTATAGTGTGCATGCGCTCACCAGACAGAGACAGAGAGACAGAAAGTGAGAAATCACCCCCCAGGGGAGATGGCCACGCCGCAGTCCCTTCTCCTTCGTTCTCCTCTTGGGATCTTGGGCACACATGCACACGTGCCTGGTGTGAATTTTAAGCCACCGGGTCTGGGACGCAAACTGCAGTCGACTACGTGGGAGTCCAGTGACATAGCCATTACACTAACTACTGGTCCCTATTTACCTTATATTTTAAGTACTATATATATATATATATACATAGTTGTTTGGGCCAGAGGTGGCATGATGGTTATGGTGCTGGACTCCCATATGGACGACCACAGTTTGAGTCTCGGACCTGGTGGCTTGCTTTCTCACTCTCTGGTAAGCACGCATGCTCTGAAGAAAATAAAAAAGAATAATAATGATAAATAAAATTTAAAAACTACTTCTTTAAAAAATGTATTGTTGTCAGAACCAGCAGATAGTGTAATGGTTATGTTGCTGGACTCCCATGTAGTCGACCACAGTTCGAGTCCCGGACCCAGTGGCTTAAACTCATGCTGGGCCCGTGTGTGTGCATGCCCAAGATCCCGAGAGGAGAATGGATATATATATATATAGTTGTTAACATAACAAAAACTTATATAAGTAAAGAAAAATATTTACCAGAGGGCACATGCACATGCACTTGTCAGAGAAAACAGAGGAACACAATAATCAGGGAGAGGGAAAAGGCACTCCCTCCATGGGACACCATCACGCTGCAATTTCCCCTCCATTTCTTCTTCCTTTCGGGATTTTGGGCACATGTGCACGTGCACCTGGAGTGTTTCTTAAGCTGCCAGTTAGGGACTTGACCCGTGTGGCTGGCACTGTGGGCTCCAGCTCCCTTAAACACAAGGCCATAGGTTGACCCAAATTATATAATTGTTAGGGATAGGCCTTTATGAATGCTGTTTGTAAAGTTTGTTAGTTATAAAACAACCCGAGGCTGTATTTGGTTCAGATTTACTAAAACTTTAGGTAACCTGAGTATCTTTATTTATGAGCATCTTTAAAGTCATTCTTTTTTTTAAAGAATTATTTTTTTAATTTAATTTATTGTTATTATTATTTAAATTAGTATAGGGCACATATGCTTACCAGAGAGAGACAGAGAGAGAGGGGGAGAGAGAGGGTAAGTGAGAAAACAAGCCACCAGGTCTAGGACTCAAACTGTGGTCAGCCATGTGGGAATCCAGTTCCTTCAGCACCCCACCCACCCCGCTTTTCAAAAAGGATTTTATTACCTGTCAGGTAGGGCACTGGAAAAACAAGCTTGGCACTTGGCTGCATTGATAGTAACTAGAGAGACAGCCACTATTTGTTCACAAAGCTCAATGTACCCTTTGGCTTTTTAAAATTGATTTCCCCCCCTCATCCTTTTCTTTGTTATCTGGCACTAATATAATCTCTAATCTGGTTTGAACTAATATGTCTGTATTTCAGCATGGTGGGGAGCTCTATTTCAGTGACGTCTATGCTAGCCTTGAATTGCCGGAAGAAATCAGGACACATAAACTTTTATGGGGTAAGTGTTGTTTTCTTTACTTTTTTTGGAGAGATTTTTGCTATAGGGCATATGAGTTCACCAGAGAGACAGAAAGTGAGAAATCACACCCTCAGTGGGGGATGGCCATGCTACAATACCTTCTCAATTCTCGGATTTTGGGCATGCGCGCACAAGCACCTGGCGTGAGTTTCAAGCTGCTGGGTCTGAGACTCAGACCTCCCATCGGCCACATGGGAGTCCAGCTCCTTAACCACTACGCCACCTGGTGGCCCTTGCTTTAATTGTTTTAAGGCAGATGCTTGATTATATGCAGAAGTCCATGTTCCATTCTGCTGATAGCCAGGTGAGGCTCTTCTATGTGGGATCACATGGGAGTAGGCCAGGAGGCTGAGGTTCCATTCTTCCTCTGCCTAAAAGTGGTATGACTTTAATTACTCTCTTGGAGTTGTTGCTTTTCAAACTGTAAAGTGTAAATAATAACATTGGGCCGTCGGAAAAGTCATGACATTTTTTCTATGCAAATATGCATCTTAAATTTTCTGACAATCCAGTACAATCTACCTTTTGGTGTTATGAAAATTAAATAGGACAATAAATGTGAAAAATACTTTGAAGACAATAGGGTGGAAATGAGGGTAACTATTCTAGAGCTGATGCCCCCTCCCTTTATAAAAAATATTTATTTATTTAGTTAGTTATTATCATTATTTTTCAATTTGACCAGAGAGAGAGAGAAAGTGAGAAAGCAACCCACCAAGTCTGGGACTTGAACTGTGGTCAGCCATGTGGGAGTCCAGCGTCTTTAACCACCATACCACCTGCCAGCCCCACTGATGTTCCTTTAATCCCCTCATGTTCTCATTACTATGTGGTTTATATTTTTATTGTCATTTTTTTCAAAAGTTTCTTTCTTTTGTGGGTATGTGAGGAGGGGTAGCACACACATCTCCCCCACACACGCACTGACATCCTCGACAGGGTCTCGCCACACCTAGTGCTCCCCAAGTCTCTCAGCCAGGATCACGTGTTCAGGTGTACCTGTACCCAACCCCGTCTCCCATTCTCTCGAGCCCTTTACTGTTGTTTTAATGGAGTTCCTAATGGAAAAAGGAGAAACATGTATTCTTGTGGTATGACTATGAAATAAAAAGGTTTTTGTTTTAAAATAAATTATGATGGGCTGGCCCTGTAGCACAGCAGTTAGTAAAAGTCTGTATAGAGGAAGCCAGATCCTACATGGCTGACCAGGACTCGAGTCCCAGCCTCATTGGCTTAAAAATATATGCCTGGCATGCATGTGTGCAGGATCCCAACCAGACAGCAAATTGAAGGTCAAAGGATTGCAGCCTGACCAGGCCCTCTTGGGACATGCTTTCTGTCTCTCACGTGCATACATGTGTCTTCTGATGTAAAAAACTTATGTTAACTTTTTAATTATTTAATAATAAATGGGAAAAGAAATGGAAAAATGAATATTGTTTAAAAATTAGGAAACACAAAAAAAAAGAGAGAAAAAATTATGTATATAAACCAGCGATAATCTCTTTAACATTTTAGCATATGTTCTTATGGGTTTTTTTATTTATTTGTTTTCTGCATGCTTAATAAAATTGGAACCGTGCTGTATATAAACTTTAGTATTCTAGGCTAGCTAGTGGTGTGATGGTTAAGGTGGCTGGATCCCACATGGCCAGCTGTGCAGTTTGAATCCCAGACTCAGTGGTTTGAACAGCATACCAGTCATACATACGTGCGTGTGTGCCCAAAATCCTGAGAGGAGAATGGAGAAGGGGTTGTGTAATGGCCATCCCCCATGGTGGGGGTACTCTCTCACTTTCTCTCTCACTCTCTTCTCTTTCTCTTTCTGACAAGCACATGAATGTTATTTCAAATATTAAGAAAAGAATTTGGGGACCAGCAGATGGGATAGTAATTACATCGCTAGACTCCCACATGGCTGACTGTAGTTTGAGTCTTGGATCTGGTGGCTTCAAACTCATGCCAAGCACATATGTGTGTGTGTGCCCAAGATCCCAAGAGGAGAGTGGAAGAGAAGGGATTGTGATGTGGCCATCCTCCCTGGGGAGGGTGTTATTTTTCACTCTCCCTCTCACTGTCTCTGTCTCTCTCTGTAGTAAGCACATGTATCCTAAAGCCAAAACTTCTAAAAAAGGAAGAATTTAGTATTTTAATGTTATTTATTTAGCATATTTTCTTTTTTTTAGTTGCTAGAAAGTGTGTGCACTCACCAGAGAGAGATAGAGAGACAGAGAGACAGGAGGAGAAGAAGAAAACACCCCCTGCAATGGGATATGGTTATGCCACATAAATCCCCTCTTTTCCACTTCTCTATTGTATCAGGATTTTGAACATGCACACATAGACACCCGGCATGTTTTTCAAGCTACCGGAGCCAGGATTCAAATCATAGTTGGCCATGTGGAATCCGACTCCCTTAACCACTAGGCTAGCCCTATTGAACGTATTTTCTAAGCATACATTTTTAAAGAGGTTTTTTGTCATAGTCCATGTGTGCTTGCCAGAGAGAGGCAGAGACAGTAAGAGGGAAGGTGAGAAATCACCCCTGGGGGGATAGACATGCAACAGTCCCTCTTCCTCCATTCTCTTCCCGAGATTTTGGGCATGCACACACACATGCACACACACACAGTAGTTTGAAGCTACTGGTCTGGTACTTGAACTGCAGTCAGCTATGTGGGAGTCCAGCAACATAACTGCTATGTTATCTGTTGGCCACCAAGTGTAAACTTTAAAAAAAAACATTTAAAAAATGTGTGTACTATACAGCCGTGTTGTACAACTGTGCTATAATCATTTCTCTACTGGCAATCGTTTAGGTTGTTTCCAATTTATTGATCTAATAAGTGCAACTTCTATGAACAGCTGTGGACTTGAAATAACTGCAAAACTGATGATGGTACAGGCAAGAGACGCCTGTTCCAAGGACCAGAAATGAGGTCCATGCCACTTATCACTCAGCAAAAGCCAATCTAGAGAGACCAGAGTTGGTAAATGAGAAAAAGAAATTATTTAGTGAGGCCAACCCCCGGAAGGTGGTGGACCTGAGTCCATAACCATCTCTGCTGTCCTGGATGAGATACGGCATTTACATAGGAATGGGGGGTCAGTGTGAGCGTACGTCATATCATCTAGAAGCAAAGGGTACGTTATTAATTATCTCAGGGCAAATTGACGAGGCCTGGTTATTGTCTTTAATCAGAATCAAGAGGAGACCCGATAGTGTCAGCGAGGTAATCATTGCTTGAGGGGCAGTTTTCATTCTGGGTGTGTAGGGCTAGATGACCTGGGTCAGTTCTTTGTGAGGGGTAAAGATAAACAATGATTAACAAGGTAGCAGAAGCAAAAATGGACTCAAGCAAGACCACTCTTCGGTCCCGGTTTTAGAAGTAGTTAAGGTCGGGACCAGCAGATAGCGTAATGGTTGCATTGCTGGCCTCCCACATAGTTTGCTGTGGTCTGAGTCTTGGACCCAGCAGCTTAAAACTTACACTGGGCGTGTGTGCATGCATGCCCCAAATTCCAAGGAGAATAGAGGAGAAGGGATTGTGGCATGGCCATTCCCCTGGTGGGTGATTTCTCACTTTCTGCCTCTCTGTCTCTCCAGTGAGTACATCTGCCCTATAGCAAAAAATCTCTCTTAATAAAAGAAAAAAGAAGTAGTTATGGCCTAAGTGTGGCTTTGCAATGCTTAAGATGATTAAAAAAAACCAAAAAAATCTCTTAATACATATGGGAGGGGGCTAGTGGCATCTTTCCCCTCCCTAGTTCCTCTAGCCCCGTATCTGTAAAGACTTAGCAAGATTATGGTTAACTTTCATTAGTTAAGCATCAGGTCTAAAGGTTAATCTGTTAGGATGAACTCCCCAAACCAAGTACAATATGGAGGCACTCTGGTTTTCTTACGACTTGGTTACAAATCCCCACTGTCAATCCTTCATTCCATTTCTTCGGAATGTGGGTAACAGTTTTTCTAGAACTGCTTCATGCTGAACTGGGTCATAGTTAGGAAACTAAAGCCTCGTCATCGTGGAGAATATGAACCTTGGCACCCTTAAGGTGGCTGGATCCCACATGGCCAGCTGTGCAGTTTGAATCCCAGACTCAGTGGTTTGAACAGCATACCAGTCATACATACGTGCGTGTGTGCCCAAAATCCTGAGAGGAGAATGGAGAAGGGGTTGTGTAATGGCCATCCCCCATGGTGGGGGTACTCTCTCACTTTCTCTCTCACTCTCTTCTCTTTCTCTTTCTGACAAGCACATGAATGTTATTTCAAATATTAAGAAAAGAATTTGGGGACCAGCAGATGGGATAGTAATTACATCGCTAGACTCCCACATGGCTGACTGTAGTTTGAGTCTTGGATCTGGTGGCTTCAAACTCATGCCAAGCACATATGTGTGTGTGTGCCCAAGATCCCAAGAGGAGAGTGGAAGAGAAGGGATTGTGATGTGGCCATCCTCCCTGGGGAGGGTGTTATTTTTCACTCTCCCTCTCACTGTCTCTGTCTCTCTCTGTAGTAAGCACATGTATCCTAAAGCCAAAACTTCTAAAAAAGGAAGAATTTAGTATTTTAATGTTATTTATTTAGCATATTTTCTTTTTTTTAGTTGCTAGAAAGTGTGTGCACTCACCAGAGAGAGACAGAGAGACAGAGAGACAGGAGGAGAAGAAGAAAACACCCCCTGCAATGGGATATGGTTATGCCACATAAATCCCCTCTTTTCCACTTCTCTATTGTATCAGGATTTTGAACATGCACACATAGACACCCGGCATGTTTTTCAAGCTACCGGAGCCAGGATTCAAATCATAGTTGGCCATGTGGAATCCGACTCCCTTAACCACTAGGCTAGCCCTATTGAACGTATTTTCTAAGCATACATTTTTAAAGAGGTTTTTTGTCATAGTCCATGTGTGCTTGCCAGAGAGAGGCAGAGACAGTAAGAGGGAAGGTGAGAAATCACCCCTGGGGG